CGTATTAGTAACTTTGCATTAATGTGACATTTTTATATGTATGTGTTGTTGTTTTTTGTAATATTTTGTTTAAGTTGCCTGTTTCTGCTTCAGTGCTTTCAAGCTCTTTACAACACATGATATTGACAGGTGGGAATAATTTCTGGATCCCTGCATTATCTGGCTACTTTAAGACAGTTTGCATTTGTTTTATGGGACCAGTGGCCATAATCTTTGTTTTTCTGATGTTGAGCTTCAAATATGGTTTGAAGCTCAACATCAAAAAATGAAGATCATGGCCACTATGCCCATCACCTCCTGGCAAATAGAAGGGGAAGAAATGGAGGCAGTGAGAGATTTTACTTTCTTGGGCTCCATGATCACTGCAGATGGTGACAGCAGCCACAAAATTAAAAGACACCTGCTTCTTGGGAGAAAAGCAATGACAAACCTAGACAGCATCTTAAAAAGCAGAGACATCACCTTGCCAACAAAGGTCCGTATAGTTAAAGCTATGGTTTTCTCAGTAGTGATGTATGGAAGTGAGATCTGAATCATAAAGAAGGCTGATCGCAGAAGAATTGATGCTTTTGAATTATGGTGCTGGAGGAGACTCTTGAGAGTCCCATGGAGTGCAAGAAGATCAAACCTATCCATTCTGAAGGAAATCAGCCCTGAGTGCTCACTGGAAGGACTGATCCTGAAGCTGAGGCTCCAATACTTTAGCCACCTGATGAGAAGAGACCCTGGAAAAGACCCTGATGTTGGGAAAGATGGAGGGCACAAGGAGAAGGGGACAACAGAGGACGAGATGGTTGGACAGTGTTCTCGAAGCTACCAACATGAGTTTGACCAAACTGCAGGAGGCAGTGGAAGACAGAAGTGCCTGGCGTGCTCTGGTCCATGGGGTCACGAAGAGTCGGACACGGCTAAACGACTAAACAACAACAACATAATTGTGTGAATTGTTGTTTTGTTTTCCCAGTTGTGATCTTCCTTTTTCTAGGATACATATTTTGCAAAAGGAACATGTACTGTAAGTGTCTTTTAAATGTAACACTGCTTTAGGTATGCTACAAACTTGGGGCCCAATTCCACCCCCTACTTTTGAAACATTTGACAGAGACCTTATTTTTACAGAATCGTCAGCAAATTTGTCCCCCGCCCCCATCTGTAAAGTGGAGGCAGCTATCCTTCCCCCCCTGATGCCGTGAGAGTTAAGTTAAAAAATTCTTATAATGTTCAACAGCCATGAAAATAGAGACCACATTAGCACCAGAGAAAAAAGGGTAGAAGAAGATTGGAATGCATCCCCAGCTGGTGGCGGCATTTTTTTTCATTAAGGGAAGATGAGAGTGGAAAGTTGAATCATTATGAAAGGAGAGGGCGATAAAATTCATGATTTGATCAACTAGGAGTCTGCCGGTGGATGCTTTATGAAATTCAATATCAGGAATATGTAAGGTAATGAGGCTGGAACAAAACACCCGAAAATGGACTATATCCTTTATTATCGTAATATTCAGCAAAACAGCAGCAGGGCAAGGAGGTAAAGGCAGATATCTCTCTAAATCCTTCTCTCTAGTGTTTAGTGGCAGTAAAATAAAGATTGCATCTGCATAAACCCCAGTGTGGACTTAAAAGTGAAGAAAACTGTTCAGGCACATGGCACGGTTTCGAAGGCAGAACTTCCAGAGCTCTTCCAGGTAAAGAAAAAGATACTTACTTCAAAAATAAATATCCATGTTGTAAAAATATCTAGCAGATGTTAAACACACATTGAGAAGAATACCTCTGAGCCTGAGCAGGACTACAACTCCCATTATCCACAGCCAACTTAGCCAGTGTTCAGCATGATAGGAATTGTAGTCGAACAAACATATGGGGACTCAAGGTTGAAGAATGTAGCATTCCGTTTGGCTCTTGTAGTGGGATCCAGGTGCCTCAATCTGTGAGCTGCTATGGCAGCCGGCCGGCCTTCCAGCTCTCGATTGTGCCTCAGCATCACCATAGGGCAGGACTATAGGGCAGGAATCACCAACATGTTGCCCCAGGAACTCTGGTCACACTAAGCCTTTGAGTTTCCCCTTACTTACTGCCACTTTGGTGATGAGATGATGAAAATTGTGACCCCTTCCTTCTTTCCTTCGTCCTTGACCTTCAGCCCCTTTGGCCCAGCTCCTGTTTTCTACCTTTCAAAGGCCACCTCTCTCTCTCTGCCAGTTTTGTCCCTCTACCGAACCTTTGCAATAATGGATGTGTTCGGTAGATTTATTGCTTTATTGTTTGGCGCCCAGCCACGCTTCCCCTGCGGGCCTCTGTAGCTTCTGTTTACGCAGGGTGGCTTTGCAGCGGTTGTAAAGCAATTAGCAGAATTACGCAGCGGTGTGTGACGAAAGAGCAGTAAGCAAGTCCCACACGTTTCTTCTGTCCTAATATCCCTTTATTTGCTTAAAAGTAGTGTATTTACAAACTCCAACTTCCATCAGAATCAAGCTGCATCTTCTCCCTCTGTTTGCAGCTACGCAGCAAACCTGCTTTCACTTTGCACTCAGCTCACAGCATTCCAAGCTGCTTTCGTCACGTCCTGGCTTACTTCCCTTGTAAGCGCCTCCTCTCAGCCTCGAGACACAGAAGGTTAACCCTTCACTACACCCAACAGGATGGATTGGCAGTATAGATTCTCTTGCAGGCCTCTCTTACAACAGTCTCGATGACCAGAAGTGTCGTTTGCATGGACAGCTGGAATCCCCCAAACCCTGAGTGGCCCCATGTGGAATAATGACTCAAGACAACGTGGTATGGGATTAAAATTGGCCACAACTTTATTATGTTTCAGATGTGAGACCTTGGCTCAGGCATTGGGCATTTATCCTTCCCATTCCCCGTCCGGGGATCTGGAAAACATCAGGGTTATCCAGTGTGTGTGGGGGGGGATGGACTGGCTCTGGAGAACATATGTTCAAGCAGAGAGAGCCCGCCCCCATTATGCCGTCTCCGCAGGGGAGAGCAATGACAACCTATAGGCATACGGCCAAAGCCTCCCCTCAAAACAACCCCTTTAAAAGGGAACCTTGGTATCGCCGCCGCAAAGAGAAGGGGGGGCGTGGGTCACCACTACACGCCCACCCCCATTTAGGGAAGATAGACTAAAGGATTCTGCCCAAGGCCTGTTACCGCCAAAGTTGTGACGGTTTGCTATGGGAAAGGCAAACCTGCCAATGCAGGGAATTCCTTTCTGGCCCTTCAACAGCAACCCTGACGTAGCAGCACCCGCATACCTGTGGAGAAAAGGTTAACCTGCAAAAGAAGTCTTAACTGAGGGTGGGTAGGGCGGCAGAAGCTCTAGAGCCAACTGACAGTTCCCAGGTAAGAGCCTCCCCCTATTGTGTGGGCAGGTAGTCCCTCCCCCTACCTGGCCTGATCACCTTGACAACGCCTCCCCAGGGCAACTGGCTAAGGTAGGCGAAGACCTTCAGGTATCCCACCTGGGGAAGGCGAAGCCAAGCCTGTGCTAATGGTGCCACATAGGGTCCCGGGGGCTGTGCATGACCACGCAAAGGGCACCCCCCATTTAATGTGGGGAGCGGTCATTGCTGCCTGGGTTCTATGGATTTATAATTTGGCATTCTTTTTTTTTAATAAGATATTTATTAAGGTTTTTTGAAATATTACAGTAAAAATGAAAAAGAAAAAAGAAAAATACAAAATAAAAACAGTTAAAAACACACATATTTTCTATTACTTATTTTCCTTTAGCTTGTTTCCCGGACCTCCTCGTACCTCCCTTTTTGTATTCCACTTCAATTTATTGGTTCAGCAAATCCTTACCATTAGATTTTAACCCATTTATAACCCTTTTTTCATATTCTCTTAGAGCATTACAGCTAGAAACCGCTTAATTGCTATCCAACATCATTCTATCATTCATTAATTTTACAGTATTTCTGTAAATAGTCTTTAAATTTCTTCCAATCTTCTTCCACCGACTCTTCTCCCTGGTCTCAGATTCTGCCAGTCATTTCTGCCAGTTCCATATAGTCCATCACCTTCATCTGCCATTCTTCCAAAGTGGGTAGATCTTGTGTCTTCCAATACTTTGCAATGAGTATTCTTGCTGCTGTTGTAGCATACATAAAAAAGTTCTGTCCTTCTTTGGCACCAATTGGCCGACAATGCCTAGAAGAAAGGCCTCTGGTTTCTTCAAGAAGGTATATTTAAATACCTTTTCAGTTCATTATATATCATTTCCCAGAAAGCCTTAATCCTTGGGCACGTCCACCAAAGGTGAAAGAATGTACCTTCAGTTTCTTTACATTTCCAGCATTTATTATCGGGCAAATGATAGATTTTTGCAAGCTTGACTGGGGTCATGTACCACCTGTATATCATTTTCATAATATTCTCTCTTAGGGCATTACATGCCGTAAACTTCATACCTGTGGTCCATAACTGTTCCCAGTCAGCAAACATAATATTATGTCCAACATCTTGTGCCCATTTAATCATAGCAGATTTCACCGTTTCATCCTGAGTATTCCATTTCAACAGCAAGTTATACATTCTTGACAAATTCTTAGTTTTGGGTTCTAACAGTTCTGTTTCTAGTTTTGATTTTTCCACCTGGAAGCCAATTTTCTTATAATTTGGCATTCTTATGCTGCTGCCACCACCTCCAATTCAATGCATTTCCTAGGAAGAGCAGGGGAGTGGAAGGGTGTTTACTGAGCTTCCTTAGAAAAGGTTCAGAAAGATCTGAAAGTTCTCTGACAAAGTCAAGGAAGGGGGAAGGAGGTTTCCAAAATGAGACAGGTGAGCAGGGGACTTGTCCATCACCACTCCTTTTAGAAACTGACCAGTGGCACCTGCTGCCCATTGGTAGGGCGGAAGGCAAGGAGACCAATAACAGGGTCAGCCAGAACCAATGATGGACAAATGCAACCCCTGACTGGCTGGAAGAGGGCAAGCAAGAGGTGGTTGGCTGAGGGCAGGCAGAGGGTGGAGCACTGATCCATCCTGAGCCATAGCTCAGTTGGTAGAGCATGAGACTAAGGTCGTGGGTTCAAGTCTCATGTTGTGTGAAAGATTCCTGCATTGCAGGGGGTTGGACTAGATGACCTCCATGGTTACCCCCCAACTCTACAAATCTGTGATTCTGTGAATTTGCCTTAACAGACCAGCCTCCTCTCAAATTACCATATTTTTTGTTCCACAAGATGCACCTAGTTTTTAGAGGAGGAAAACAAGAAAATAAATCTTCTGAACGAAACAGTGAATGTATGATTTTTGTGGTTCATGGTGTGGCCACAGACATGATATGTGATTTGACGGTGAGTTTGGGGTAGCCCAATGCAAAAATCCTGAGAATCCTTGTGGATCTGTGCTTTGTAACCATGTTTTTGCACCATTTTGGCCGCACAAAACAGTGGATGTGTGATTTTTGTTGGTGCAGGCTAGAGCCATGTGATCTGATGGTGAAATTGGCTCCAGGGACCATGCATTCGATCCATGAGAAGCACAGATATTTTCCCTTACTTTTTAGGAGGAAAAAAGTGTGTCTTATGGAGTGAAAAATACTGTAACCATGCTAAAAAGCCAAAGCCCATCTTTAGTAAGAATCTCCCGCCACTGAAAAAAGCAATAAGGGGGGTGGAATCATTAATGGAACAAAGCCCTTACCTATTCAAGTCTCTCTACCATTTAAGGAGTCATTTTCTGAAATGGCTCCTTGAACAGCCAAAATGGTAATGATTAGTCTCGCTTTTCCTTAACACCTGCTGGGTAACATACTTGCTTAGTGGGTCAAAGCACCCCAAAAAGCTGTTTTTAAAAATAAATAACAGAGTGTAAATGTCGTTTAATAGCTTCAAACGCAATAGCACAGCTTTTATAAACAAAAACAAATAAAGCCCCCTCTCTGAATTAGGACAACTAATTCCAATGTCTCTGTTGTTGGAGTTGCTACAGCTTATAATCAATCATTCCATAAAGCGCTTTTGGCTTTGGTCTTTCTTTGTTTTGTTTTAATCATCTGAAATTTTGAATCCCTGGTTCAAATGAATTAATTTCACAGCTTGCAGATCAATTAGTAATCATGCTGAAAATTATATTATTGATGTTCACTGGGTGACAGGAAGAAATTGACTCGAGTGGAGAGTGTTTGCAACTAAGTGCTAATCCCGGGGTCCACAAAAGCCTTTGGTGTGGGCCTAGCATGCTTTGAGGCATGCACAGGAATTTCCAAATGCTTGTTCTATCACTGGTTTTCAATATGGACTATGTCTCCAGGCATTGGAACAGGTAGCTATGTGTTACAGTGGTCACACCTCTACTTATGAGTCTGGGTTTATGTGTCCACCTCCTGGTAGTTGTGCTGAGGGGTGCCACAGGGCACTGTTTTGCTCTTGATGCTATTTAAGATATGGAAACACATTGCTCCATTATGACATGGTCCCAGCCAATCAGGGATGACATCATCACACAACCTATCTAGGCAGCCCAGAATGATGCAGTGACACAGAATTCCACCAGATTGGTGTAGCTCTCAGACTGTGGGGCTGTAGACTCACTCTGATTGGCTGTGGGTACAGCTAGTCAGAGGGGGGTGGAGTTGTCAGGAGCTCATCCTACACTCGAGTAGGACCCTGGTAGAGACACATGCCCGACTAGCATGTTCTCTCCCTCCTGGTCGATCGTTTGGGAGCTTCAAAAGCTTTTTTCTGCCTGAACATCACAGCGACCAATGCCAACAGACATCGGCACACTTAGGGATCCGCAGAGTCTTCGCAGCTTGCATAACAGACCTCAGCAACTCAGCATTTTGGCTAATCTACTTTATTTACATATAAACACACATGGAGCACTGCAGCATGGCTCCCTCTCTCTCTAGCATCAGACAGCAAAGAGAACGAACAAAGGACAATATTCCCACTTCACGGAACACAATAACACAAACATACTGTTTCCGTCACTTCCCACTCTGTGGAGTCAAAACATACACCATCATGTGATAGACAAAAATCCCATGACTGCCATTATGGAGCAGGAATTCTAACAGGAGTATGGGATGGGTGGGGTGAAGCAATGGAGAGTGGGGTTCCTGGCGTTAAGCTGGATAAGAGTATAGCCTCTTAGCTGTATGTAATTCACCCTACAGCCAGAGAAGGAAGTCTCTGAGCTGGTGGATTAGGTTTAAAGACCGTGGATGGTGCCTTTTGCAATACTATAACAGCCAAGTGAGACCTTGGAAGCTGAATTTGAGAAAGGAGAAGTAGAGTTGTGAGAGAATTTTCTACTTTGATCTCAATTCAGTAAGAAGGGGAAAGATCTTCTGGAGAGAGAAGAATAATCCCAAACCCAGTTAAGAGGGGTGTGGTGATCCCCTGGTCTGGTATATTAAAAGAGGAGCCTCAGGAGTGAGATTAATAGATGGTTGGGAAACTGACAGGAAGTACCAACTTGTTTCAAAACCCAAGTGTGAAACCTAAGCTGTCACACCTCTGCAACTAGCTTAAGGAAATGAAGTGAATATAAACTGTACATTGATCAGCTTTTTCAGAAGCCTATGACATACACTGAGTTTATGATATATTTATGTTTACTGTTTCTTTTCAAGAACACATCTTTTGTTTTACCAGTTTTGCTGTAAAATAAAATCTTTTTCCTGTTTAACTTTTCTAAGTCTCTAAGTACCAGAGTTTTCTTTTTTAAAAAACTACACTAGCCAGTAGTAGGGAGAGGGGGCACATTTAGCTAAATGATGATGTCATAAAGCTACCTCAGAGTGAGGGCTCTCTTCTTGCCTTCGCTCCGTATGAGTGAATATTTTTAGCCCTCTTCACAGTATTTCTTTTTTTAAAAAGCACACACCCTAAAAGCACATGCAAGGAGCAATGCAATTCACCCCAAGGTATCTTCGGTGAAAAATGCCCCTCCCAACACAAAACACTTTATGGCTTAGCCCTCTCACATACACTGATTAGCTATAGGACATAATTAAATAATTCCCAGTCCAGGGACAATTGCTTCATGGACACCACCACCGTTCTTTCATCACCTTAGTAATCAGGCTCACCCCATGGAACTAGATTGCTACCTTGATTAGACTAATGATGAAATGTTGTTATCTTCTCCTTTGCCCTATTCTCTGATGGCTTACCTTTTAAAATGGCTTTTCGCTTCTTCTTCTTTTTTAAGTGCTGGGAAAAGTGCAATCACTCCAGTTAAAGCACTTGGTGTCCCTATCCCTTTTCCTCAAGAGCCAGCATGCACTATGCAACATATCAGAATGGATGTGCTGCGAGTCGATTCAATTTTATATCTGTGCCATCTTGTTTTGCATTATGAGAGCCAGCATGGGGTAGTGGTTAGCATGGCGGACTTTGTCCAGAGATACCAGAGTAGAAATCCCCATTCGTCCAAGAAATTCATTAGGTGCCACTGGGGCAAGTGTTAGAATTCCAGCTCCATGATTGCAGTCATGGGATTGTTGTCTTATCACATGACAGTGTATGTTTTGACTCCGCAGAGTGGGAAGTGTCCTTTGTGTACTCTCTTTCTGTCTGATGCTAGAGAGGGAGTGTAGGACGAGCTCCTGACAGCAGGTACGTTGTCTGGCCTTGACCCACCTCACTGTTTTATTTTGAGGATAATGTGGGGTAATCCCCATCCATGTATAGAACCCTGACCTCACTGGAAGTATGGTAGAAGATCATTGTGGATGGTGAAGAAGAAGAAGAAGAAGAAGAAGAAGAAGAAGAAGAAGAAGAAGAAGAAGGCTGTGCACTGGTTTCAGCCGAAATCCAAACTAAATTGATTCAGGGGGATACATATTTTGACAGAGTTGGGTGGAGACAGCCACCGGACACCTGGGGTGACCTGAGGATGTCAGTGGGTGAAGCATTGGGTGGGAATAATAATAATAATAATAATAATAATAATAATAATAATGTATTATTTATACCCCAGCCATCTGACTGAGTTCCCCCAGCCACTCTGGGTGGCTCCCAACAGAATAATAATAATAATAATAATAATAATAAAGCAAATAAACATCAAACATTTAAAATTTCCCTAAACAGGGCTGCCTTCAGATGTCTTCTAAAAGTCAGGCAGTTGTTTATTTCCTTGACATCCAATGGAAGGGAGTTCCACAGGGTGGGTGCCACTATCAAGAAGGCCCTCTGCCTGGTTCCCTGTAACCTCACTTCTCTCAGGGAGGGAACCGTCAGAAGGCCCTCAGAACTGGACCTCAGTTTCCGGGCTGAACGACGGGGGTAGAGATGCTCCTTCAGGTATACTGGGCTGAGGCCGTTTAGGGCTTTAAATGTCAGCACCAACACTTTGAACTGTGCTCAGAAACATACTGGGAGCCAATGCAGGTCTGGTGTTATATGGTCTCGGCAGCCACTCCCAGTCATCAGTCTAGCTGCCGCATTCCAGATTAGTTGTAGTTTCCAGGTCACCTTCAAAGGTAGCCCCACGTAGAGAGCATTGCAGTAGTCCAAGCGGGAGGAAGAGAAAGGGCTGTTTGCAAGAGGACCTCCAAGCCCTGCACTGCATTTTGGCAGTATACACCTGTTCCCAGTAGGGAACCTTTTCCCAGTAGGAAAACAAATGTGAGCATTTAAATGGAGCAGCTGGTGTGCAGAGGGTTCAGTCTTACTGGCTGCATGGCTCTAATTCACCAGCGTGTTCTGTACAGGGAGCACACCAAGTAAACCCCAGCAGGATTGAGGCCTCTGCTCAAGAGCATTCAACCCTGATGACAACAGGGTCCTTCTTGGCAAATGCATTCCTTGCAGGGAACATTCTTGCAAAGCAGTGTGGAGCAGGATTGCACAGGGAATTCAACCCTGCTGGCTGTAGGGTCTGCTTCACAAGTGTGTTTCCTGCAGGAATGTGTTGGCGAAGCAGAAACCAGTAGACTGGTAGGAGAGAGATGGCATCTTCTTCTTCCCCTGCCCTCCCCTGCCCTTACGTTGATTTAGGTTTTTGAAACCCTAATTGAGCATTAGTCCTGTCCCCTAAAATGATCTGGGTCAGACATTCCCCTGGTTGGGTTGGGGAGGCTATGTGAAACCCTTA